CTGGCCGCGGCGGACTGGCCACGCCCCCGAGACAAAAGGGCGCCCAGCCCCTGGGGAGGGCGATGAGCGCACTGCAGTTCTGCGTTCCGGGGGCCCCAGCTCCCAGCCACCGCTGCTTCGCTCAGGGCGCAGGGGAAAGACGCAGGGGCGTTCCCAGGGGCTGGCGGCCGAGGCGCGGCCCGTGAGCCGTGAGCTCGGGACTCGCCGCCCTCCGGGTCGGGCGCAGAGCTTTGGAGCGGCTACTGCGAGGGCCTCGGCGCGCCCCCGGGATCTGCGCAGGAGGGCGCTTGCCCACTCCTACCCGACCTCTCGCACCTTCCCGTGGCGTCCGAGCGCCAACTTCCCCAAGAACGCTCCAACTCCAGGCCACCCTGCTGGGCAGAGGGGGCGCTGCTGCTGGGCACCAGCCGTGAGGACGCACCCCTGGCCCCAGGGAGCGAGCCGGCATCTTCAGGGGAGCTCGGGCGCCCCTGAGTGGGCGTCGGCGGCAGCCGCCTCCCCGGGGAGTCCAAGACCTGCAGGCGTTCGCCCTCTCTTTTATGGTGAGTATTCTCCAGCTTCTGGTGAGGGGCGCCCTGAGGCGCGCGGGAGCCGGAAGCCGGGAGCCGGGAGCCGGGAGCCGGGAGCCGGGAGCCGGGAGCCGGGAGCCGGGAGCCGGGAGCCGGGAGCCGGGATCTGGCCGCGCGACCGCGTGCGAGCCAGCACTCGCCACAGCCGGCGCTCCTGGCTTGAGTCCCGTCCGGGTCCCCGGGAATTCCTCTCTGCCGGCTGTAGTAGTCGGAGCTGGGTGGTTTGCGCGCAGCCTTGGGGCGTTTGGGGCCAGCCCCTGGAACTGCAGGTTCGAAGCCTGCTACTTCTCTGAGTAATGGAGACAGCAAAAAAAAAAAATTGCTCTCACCCTACCCCCCCCCCCCCCCCGCCCCAGTCACCCTGCCTGGGTTTGGTTCCATGATCTGTCATTCATTGGCTGGGTGACCTTGGGCAAGTCTCCAAACCTCGATTTTCTCCCCGTAGGATGGGGATGTACTGGTGGGATCTATGCGTGTAACGTATGCAGACCTGTGCCTGGCACTTAGGAAGCACTCAATCAAATGTTAACTGGAATTATTATCAGCGGTGTGAGCCCAAGCGTGCCACCCAACTTTTCGGAGCTGCAGCATCTCCCGCACGCAGTTGGCTCTGGTGAAGTGGTAGCTGTAGTATTTAT